AGTTTTCTTCTTGAGAGAGAGAGAGAGAGAGATAGGGTGGCTAGGGTTTTAATTGAATGAATAATTCTCATTATGTTTTAATTTTAAGTTGCACTTATATAATGCAACAATTAAAACCTCATTCCACTTAGGAATAGCCATGGGCTCTAACCCTAGTTCACCCTCGCAACCAAACACACCCTTTATGGTATTTTAATTAATTAATTATTATTACAATTAAAATCAATTAATAGATACTAATATATTAACATTCAATTAATAATAATAATTCATTTAAATATATACATAGATATATTTAAATATAATCTCACTAATTTAATTTTAATATTAAAATTAAATACATGCAACAACCTCAGCAAATTTAACTGCACTGTCAGATTACCAAAATACCTTTTCGTCCTAAAGGATGAAAATACCCTTCTCACAAATTGATTCTTAAATTATCTTCTAAGTGTGTGACCCGTAGGCTCCTCATCATATCGGTAGTGTGTAGTATCGTAATTAACACCAATTAATCGTCTCACTACATACAGACCAAGATTGGCCCCTGGCAAGGCATCATGGCCACCCGATAGATTCGAATTCAGCGAAACCGCAACCTGTCAACGATATGGTTACCGTGCAATCAAATCCTTTCATCAACTGTTATCTCATCGAGATTGAGGTACATAAATAGTGTCAACCTCAGATATCCTGGACATGATTGTATTAAGTTAGTGGACTAATGACAGGAATATTAAATTGGATTGACTATCAACTCAATCCCACTGTGGCCATAGATTTAGTGTCATTGCCATTTACTGAATTACCTAGTGAGATAACTTCTCCCATACCAAGGAGTGATGAATCCTTTGTCGATCCACCATAGTCTCGATACACTTCTCAATGTAGCCAATCACTACTGTATTGATAGCTCTGAATAGAACTACATTGGGCTAGTGTCAAACTACACTAATTAGTGCACAAGACGCTCCGGTGATCTCAAGTCTAAGGATCACATGCACCACCATTCGTTAGAGGATTTATTCCATAAACACTAGGGTTACCATCCATATGGAATCCTCTGGTGGGTGTGTCCAGTGAACTTGCCTCTAGCAAGTACCCATGCGTTGCACCAGGTTGTCGGCAAACAATCTTGACAAGTGAGATCAGTCACTATCTTTCGACAGGGTCGTTCAACACTATAATAGCCTTATCATATTATCTGTGTCATTGGTTAGAATAATACTGGGGCTACGGACTTTTCTATAATAGCCACCATATGTGATCATAGGGTTCTCACTATCAAGATTTGAAGCACTTGATACTCTCATCACAGTTCTACCATCCTAAGGACGTATATCACTATGATTTACACGATATAGAAGAATATGCCTTTTATTGATAAATAAACATTTATTACAGAGTCAATTTTACAATAATAGATTGGCTCTAGTGCACTTACTCTAGCATGTGGTCTTTTGCATGAATTTCCCAAACATATTTTCCAACTTTGATACCCTCTACTCTATTGGTTGAAGATTCATTGCTGGTTGATGATTTGATACTATCCTTTGGTTCGATTGATTTCCTTGATTGCTCTAGAAAAAAATTTGACTGATTTCTCCATCTAGGATTGTAGGTGTTGGAAAAAGGATTATTCTGGGGTCATTGATTTCCGGCTACCTAATTGACTTGCTCTAAAGATGAAGATGATGAAGCAAAGGTGTTCCCCACTTGGCAATCAATGCTTGCATGGTTACCTGCACACAAGTTGCATGTTAATTGAGGTGCTTGAATAGAATTAACCTACATACCTCCTAATTGTTTCTGAAGTGCTGCTAGTTGGGCTGAAATGGTTGTGTAAGCGTCAACTTCATGAATACCCATAGACTTCTTTGGATGTATTCTCTTTTTAGGTCTCTGATAGTTGTCACTTGCCAGGACTTCAAGTAACTCATAGGCTGCTTAAGGTGTCTAGTTTTGCAATGCTCCTCCAGATGCTGCATCCACCATTGTTTGCATATTTGGAAGCAACCCATTATAGAAGGTTTGGACTTGCATCCAAACAGGCAAACCACGGTGTGGACACTTCCTCATTAGTTCCTTATATCTTTCCCATGCTTCATATAGTGACTCGTTCTCATCCTACATAAATGATATAATGTCGTTTCTCATCTTTGCTGATTTTGCTAGTGGGAAATATTTAGTTAGGAACCTTTGTGCCAATTCATTCCAGGTGGTGATTGTTCTTGCTGGTAGTGCCAATAACCATCCTTTTGCTTTATCTCTTAGTGAAAATGGAATTAATCTCAACCTGATGGCATCATCTGACACTCCGTTTGCTTTAAATGTGTCGCATATCTCCAAGAAGTTAGCAATATGTGAGTTTGGATCTTCATTTGCATTTCCCCCAAATTGTACCGATTGTTGGATCATTTGAATGATTGCCAGCTTTATCTCAAAAGTGTTGGCTTGTACCGGTGGCATAGTGATACTTGGACCACTACCATCAATTGTGGGCACTGAGAATTCCCTCAAAGTTCTATCGTTCGCCATTTCTGTGCGTAGTGTCTCTTATCTCTCTCTCCATTCCCTAATAAGTCTTCTAGCTGTTCTCTCGATCTCTAGATCAATGGGAACTACAGGGAGACTTCTTACTCTTCACATAAACTACAAAAGGAAGAAAAAAGAAGATCATGAGATTACACAAACTAAATAGAATGAAAGTAAAACTAAAGGTAAAATTGAAATTTAAAACTTTAACTTAGTGAAAATTAGAAGAATTCAATATCAGCACAAAATCAATCCCCGACAACGGCGCCAAAAACTTGATGCATGATTCGATAAACATGCATATGTAGCAAGTGCACTAATCACAAAAAGTAATACAATGATGAAGTAGAGTATCGTTCCCACGAGGATTGCGTGCTAATTATCGAGTTTCCTAATTCTATTACTAATTGAAGAGTACAAAAATGTTAAAATTGTGGGGGAAAGTAAAGCTAGAATTAAAACACAAAATCAAACAACTAAGATTAAAACTAAACTAATCAATACAAATTCAAATTAGGGCAAAAGAAGTTAAGAGTTCAACTTCACTAGGATACTCTAGTTTAACCTACAAATTCTATTGCTTCCAAATTCACATGCAAAATCGAATTCCTTAAGTTGTAGAATATATCTTCTTAGGCTATATTCTTCTACCTATCCCTATTAAGCCTCCGCACCCAACAAAATGAAGATTAATAGTTCAAAGACTATTAAGCTAAATGGAATCCTATAAAGATTTCATAGATCGCTAAACCCATCTCTAGCGTTTTCTTAATCTACAGTGTTTCCTCTAAGAAGCTAACACATGAATCACTTCTCAGTCTCATCATGCTCAACATTCAATTGAATAATAAAAAAAAAAAAACCAACATCCAATTGCATTAAGTACAAGAATAAACACATAATCCAAGCAATAGAACTAAAAAACAACACAAATTTATAGACTAAACCATTGTAATCCAAGTTACATCAAAACCCTAACCCAAAAATGAGTTAGTTCATGCTCAAAATAAAGAGAAACATCACATAAACTGTAAATGTGGAGTCCAACATATTAGAAATTGAAAGAGGAATGAATTCTTCCCTAATTTGGAGACCCAAATTCTTCAAATCTCCTTCTCCTCTTCTCCTTATCTAAAAATGTCGACCCCCCCTTCAAAAATGAACTAAGTCTCTCTTAAATAGTAGGCCAAAACCCTAGAAACTAATACAATACAAGTAAAACGCAACGTTTTACAAAAAATACATTTTTGCAGTTTTCGCTGCGGCAAAGAAGATTCTAGCCGCGGCGTTGATTTGAATTTTGCTAAAGCATCTGCCCAGAGGCTAGCTTGTCGTGGCAAAGAGAGAACCTTGTCGCGGCAAACACTTTTTGATCTTTGTTGAAATTATGGAACTGCCCTCCGCTTGCTTCTTCGTTTGAGTCTTCGATCTTCGTGATCCCTAATAGGAACAAACTTCACAGTGCTTCCAATCAGCACTAGAATTCCCCCGATCCCTGAATTTCACTTGATTTCGGGTCCAGAAACTCATTTTTGCTTAGGTTTGCTCCAACTGCATGTTTTGGCTTGAAACGTAAAATATACAAATTTAAGTAGTAATTTAGGCATAAAACTTAATAAGAAGTATCTGGAATCCTACAAAAAGCATAAAGAAAACGGTATAATTCTAGGATTATCACTTTCCCAAAACCATGGGTGTGAATAAAACTAATTGATCTCTTAGGGGCAGAGCTGGCGGTGGGCCGTGCCATGTTGTGTCGTGCCTAAAAATTCAAAGGCTTGTTGTGCCGTGGGTTGTGCTGTGCTAAGGCCGATAGAAATTCGTGCCTTGTTGTGTTGTGCCGTGCTAGCCCACCAAATCTGAAGGCCCATAGCACGACTCGCTATATAGCGTGCTGTAGGCCTAGCACGTGGGCCGACCTATAATTTTTTTAATATTTATATTTAATATTTATAAATTATGGTTATTTTGATTTATTATTAATAATTATTATAAAATATTATTATATGTTATATTTAGTGACTTTTTTTATTTGTATTAATTAAAAAAACTATATAATCACTATGAAATATAATAAAATAATGAGACATTGAAATATTAATTGTATTTCAACACCTTTTATTACTTATAATTATAAATTACAAATACAAACTTAGAAATTAGGAATAAGAATTAACATTAACAATTACATTCCCATTAGAAATATATACAAGTATACAAATACAATACAACTATCTCAACTTTCATTTTAGTTTTCAAATATTCAAAGTAAATGATTGATAAAAAATATCATACATCTTCTTTTTCGTTAATTTCCTTGAATATTTGTAAGGGAGATTAGAAAAAGGAGGGCAGTTAAGTAAATTCAAAATTACCCAAACGTTAAAAATCAGAAAACGTGGTGGTTGGATTCGTTTACGGCATATTAGGGAAAGGAGGGCAGTTAAGTAAATTCAGAAGTTACCAAATCGTTAAAAATCAGAAAAAGAGCTGGTTGGATTTGTCAAAGGGAGATTAGGGCTTGAAGTTTGCGCAGGAGAAAAAAGCAGCGATGGTGTGCGAAAAGTGTAAATTATCTTCATCTTCTTCGTCTTCTTCTTCTTCTTCAAAATAATTGTTAATAATTAGGTATTGATCGATTAATTATTTAATTTTACAGGTGAAAAGAAGCTAGCGAAAGTAATAGTTCCAGATAAGTGGAAGGAAGGAGCCAGCAACACCAACGAAGCCGGTGGACGTAAAATCAACGAGAACAAACTCCTCTCTAAGAAAAAACGGTTCTCCTCTTTTTCTTGCCCTTTATTGTTTACATGATTCCATAAATTCCCAATTTGATCTAGGATGTGATTCTTGATTTTGTAAATTTTAGATAATGTAATAGCAGTAGTGTCGGTGTGATCAGGAATTCCATCAAGTTTAACAACTTAATGCAATAATATTATTATGGAAAAAATTAATAGCACTCGAAGGATTCATTCATGCTGGATTTTTACTGGAGCTTCTAGTTCTAGTATAGTGAACAAAGCTTGTCGCAGGTTCATAAAACATTGAACCTTACTATTATGTGCCTTGCATATTTGAATGAAATTGCAGTGTGGGTGTTGTTCTTGTGTGCTACATGTTAAAGTTTGACTATGTTGGTGATTGACTTAGTTTACTTTGTAGCATGAAGTCCTGAACCCTGGTATGAGCGAGATTTGATCCCAAAATCTCCTGTGCCATTATAATAGATTTTACTTGCAACATTAGCTAGTACTTACAATCTTTTTGTTGTTTGTAGATGGACACCTTATGGAAATACCAAGTGCATCATTTGCAAGCAGCAAGTGCACCAGGATGCCAAGTACTGTCATACATGTGCTTACAGCAAAGGTGCTTTTTTGTTCTGCTGCTTTTCATCTTTTTGTTTTTAGGTTTTATGTTTTTTATTTGTTTGGGGTTATCTAATTTCAGAGTGTTATTGCTTGGGTTGTGCAGGAGTATGTGCCATGTGCGGTAAACAAGTTCTTGACACCAAGTTTTACAAACAAAGCAATGTATAGCATATAACCGATGCTTCGCTCGTGCTAACTGCTAGATTTGATTCTGCTATTAAGAACTCATGGAATTGTTGCTGGGGCTATATATGATGTTAAAGAATCATCTACAACTGATGTAATGTACTTGATGGGTTTCTTCTTCAATCCAATGTATTGTAAATTGGACTTGAAATATTCTGTTTTATCAGTTAGTCTTTGCGAATTGGACTTTCCAATTCTAAATTCTGTATTAATTGTTGCTTGAATTGGTTATCATTTTCAGATATGGTTTCTTTTGTCAAATTTGCAAAGTTAAGCCATCTATTTTTGAATTGTTGAAGTGTCTGAGAAGTTGACAGTTTGTGTATTGACAAGAGGGTTGTTTTATTTTTCCAACCTTTATTCTCTAATGCTAAAGTTTGGCAACCTTCAAGCAGGACTTGCTTCTGGATTGCCATGGTAAAGATGCCGGACCATACCTATAATCTAACGGAAATCTCAAAGTGAAAACTCATTGAACCCTACAACAATATTAGGATTATTTTCACGAATTCATTTACTGGTTTTTCCGCGCAAGATTGCGTTACTTAGAGTTCTTATATTTTAGAAAATCATATTTTTTAGGTCCAGTTTCGGTAATGGATTTGCATTAGAGTATAAGGCTATAATTAGTTAGGCTCGTAAACAGTTGATTGTTGTTAAAAAATAACTCTGAAGGCAATTTAACAATAAAAAACAAAATGCTTGCCTAAATTTTCTTTGAAAGAACATCGAATTGAAAATAAAATGATCATATGTTTTGAGAGTTCTTTGTCCATATCAATTCAATAATCACATTTTCCCAAAATAATGAAATATACAAGTTTTATTTAAAAGACAAATCTAGTTGTAAAATCTAATGAATAACTAACTATACCTTTAATGAAACCTCAAATGATATATTTTTAATAAATAACTTTAAACTATGTTAGACTTTGGGGTTTACTCTCATTCTTCGTGAATTTTAGCTTCATTCATGAAATTATTTTCAATTTATATATAAAATTTTTATGTTAATAAATTTTGACTTGGCCTCAAATGTGTCTATCAGATTATATTCTAATAAAAAGTAATATTTCATTTAGTGGATTGATTTTAGATAACAGTATAACATCCTATAACGATAGAATAACAGTATATGGGTGAAGACAAATGATAAATGTTGTAAGAGTTTCCCATGAAGAAAAGAGAGCACATAGACATTAAGTTGTTTTTCATGCTTTGAGTACAAGTGTCAATTTTTTTCTTTTTTTTTTGGTCATACACAAAATTCTCATCTTTGTTTGTGTAGAATTATACATTTAAAAATTAGTTTGACAATACATTATAATTAAAAAAACAGTTTAAAAAATATTTGATGGAGCGTTATTGAAATGACACCACTCAACATAGAATCTAAGCCATTACTAGTTAGTTATTACCGCATGTCGACGAACTCAACAAGTTGAGAGCTCGCTTGTTGGTCCACAACACGATGTTAGGGTGGAGTTACTTCCTTGACCACAATGCGACGTCATGGTGGCGTTGCTTGCTTAGCCACACATGATGCCATTAAGTGGTGGATCCAAGATTTTTGTTGAGGGAGAGCCTCCGCGGCTCGGCCATTATTTGTCAAATAATTAGTGAAAACTTTAAAAAATTACCAAATCTTAATAAAAAAAAAATAATACAATATTAAGAACCTGAGAAAAAAGAATATACATTAACATAATATTTTCTTGAATAAATCTATAAGAAGCAAAATTTTGAGTAAAAGTGTTGAGTAAACCTTCTTTTAATATTTNAAAAAAAAAAAAAAAAAAATTCTTTAAACTTAATCTAATACTCCCTCCGTTTCTTTTTAAGTGACGTTTTAACACCTTGCACAATTTTTAAGAAAACAAATTTCTCTCAGAATTTTTAAGAAAACAAATTTCTCTCTCCTCATACTGACTCTTTCACTGAAATTACAGTAGGAAAATTTTGATTCTCCTGCTGCTCTTCACCTGCATTTGAAAAAGAAAGAGAGAGAAGAGATAAGGGGCAAAGATGGAGAAAGAGAGAGAGGAGATGAGGGTAGAGAAAAAGTGGAATACAAAGGACAGGAAAATTCATCGAGGAAGAGAGAGAGAGAGGATGGAGTAGTCAAACGACTTTTATTTTGGCAAAGAAATACTTTTCTAAAACGTCTATTAAAATGAAACTGAGGGAGTACCAAAAATAGGCCTTTAATTTTAATTAGTTTTTTCCGTTTGTACCCCTTTTCCTCAATTCAAATTTGAAACTTAAGAGGCATTTGCTAACTTATTTGAATACATTATAGTGTCAATTAATGAATAACTCTAAATGAATAAGATTGAATGAAATATTATGATATGTTCATTTTTAATTTTTAAACAATTGATTTTAAGAATTAAGTGTTTGTTTTTACAAATTTTAAATATCTTAAAATTAGTATTTTTACATAAATATCCTTATAAATGTTGAGTATCATATATTTTTTATAGTTTGTATTACAAATCATGAATTTGAAAATATTTTAATTTTGCAAATAATTCATTGTGTATACTTTATGTTTGTTACAATGAAAGTAAAATAAGAACGCGAATAAAATAAGTTAATAGAGATTGAGGTTTTAAGGGGTATGATTGAAATTTAAAATTTGTAGGGTTTATTTTTGGAGAAGTAATTTAAGGCAAACAAATAAGTCTATTGTATGAAGTTAGAGGTCAAAATTTTTGGTGTTTTCCATTAAAAGGAATATGATTGATTCTCAGTTTTAAATGGTGAAATAAATATTCGAATATAAAAGATTCACCTTTTTAAGTCTTCAGAGGTGAAAAGAAACATGTCTTTACTTTTTCTTCTTCATATTCATCATGTGTTGTGTGATTACTTTCTCCATAGTTTTTTGTAATATTTATTCATCAAAGAAACAAATATATGAAATTAAAACAAAAAGTTTCAATAATAATGAAAATTTACAGTTAGGTTTAAGTAAGAATTAAAAGGTAAACATTAAAACAAGCATATAAAATAGAGTAATGTTCATTCAAGGCTAAATTTGTTTCTCAAAAAAAAAAAAAAAAAANTTATATTTTTTTTTTTAAAAAAAAAAAATTCTTTAAACTTAATCCAATACCAAAAGTGGGCCTTTAATTTTAATTAGTTTTTTCCCGTTTGTACCCCTTTTCCTCAATTCAAATTTGAAACTTAAGAGGCATTTGCTAACTTGTTTGAATACATTATAGTGTCAATTACTGAATAACTCTAAATGGATAAGATTGAATAAAATATTATGATATGGTCGTTTTTAATTTTTAAACAATTGATTTTAAGAATTAAGTGTTCGTTTTTACAAATTTTAAATATCTTAAAATTAGTATTTTTACATAAATATCCTTATAAATGTTGAGTATCATATATTTTTATAGTTTGTATTACAAATCATGAATTTGAAAATATTTTAATTTTGCAAATAATTCATTGTGTATACTTTATGTTTGTTACAATGAAAGTAAAATAAGAACACGAATTAAATAAGTTAATAGAGATTAAGGTTTTAAGGGGTATGATTGGAATTTAAAATTTAGAGTAGGGTTTATTTTTGGAGAAGCAATTTAAGGCAAACAAATAAGTCTATCGTATGAAGTTAGAGGTCAAAATTTTTGGTGTTTTCCATTAAAAGGAATATGATTGATTCTTAGTTTTAAATGGTGAAATAAATATTTGAATATAAAAGATTGACTTTTTTAAGTCTCCAGAGGTGAAAAGAAACATGTCTTTACTTTTTCTTCTTCATATTCATCATGTGTTGTGTGATTACTTTCTCCAAAGTTTTTCGTAATATTTTTTCATCAAAGAAACAAATATATGAAATTAAAAAAAAAAAAGTTTCAATGATAATGAAAATTTACAGTTAGGGTTTAAGTAAGAATTAAAAGGTAAACATTAAAACAAGCATATAAAATAGAGTAATATTCATTCAAGGCTACATTTGTTAAAAAAAAAAAAAAAAAAAACGAAATTTTAAAGTGGGGAATACTAATAAATTAGATGTGGGGCTAGATATTACTCGCTGATTAAAAGTTTTATATTTCTACTTATTAATTATGATAATGGATTTTAAGATTTGTTCTCGAATTAGATTTTAAAATAATTATTTTTAGGTATAATTAGATAATTTAATTTATTACAAAATAATTAATTTTTTATTTTATTTTTATCAAATTTATTTGATAATATTTAGTTTTATATATAGTTACAATTATATTTATTACAAATGACTAAGTCTATTTTTTTTTATTAATATTTAATTTGTTGCAAATAATTAAATTTTTTTTTTTTTTTATTACCTATCTCGTTTATTCTGAAAAATTAATTTTTAAGCTTAGTTTACTATGTATATGGTTAAACAGATAAAGAATATACTATTGTTACCAACTCCATTGGGATTCTACTTTTTAGTATATATCATGGGTGCAAGGGTTTGGGATCCAAAACAAGGAGTCGCCGGAAAAACATCCAAAATGCAAACTCCGGCAAACTCAGATCTAAACCCCAGGATCTACTAAAACGAGTTTTGAAAATGATCGTTACCTTCCTGATGAAGTTTTGGCTCCAATGGACCTTCCCAAGGTATGACTGAAGCATTTGGACGTAACGAGTGGGTGCGGAAAAACTTTTGAAACTCCTTCCAAAGCTTGCATGTGTGATTCCTTCTTTGATTTGTGGTTGAAACAACTTTCTGAACACTCAATTTAAGAAGAAAAAGATTTGACTGTCCTTGAGAGAATTTTCAGGATCAACAACTTGATCTTTAAAATTCAATTTAATGTCTTGCATGTAATAGTGACTTTGACCTCTTTTATGTAATTAATGGAATTTCGTGGGGAAATATGTTGAGCCAAGCCAAGTAACTACTTACTTAAGCTTGGCTTGGCTACTATGGCACCACACTTTAGTCTCTTACTACTCGTGTTCTATATTGAAACACAGGGTAGGTCGCGCTTGAGTTCAAGCTTACTATAAGAGAACTCAAGGTCGAGATCGCTTTTGCCCAATTCCACTAGTGGACCATAACATTTATGTCCATAACTTTACATGACATTCTTGCCAGTACTTCTCCACTAATTACATCAGCTTGCCATCCGAGCTCGTGACAAGCGATCTTGAGGTCGAGATCGCTCTCGCCAAAATTTCACATTACCTCAGACTTTATATGACAACATGTAAGTCTTTCTTCTACAAATGTATTAAACCATTTAATACATTTGATGCAGGTCTCCGAACGCCTTCT